GCCAGTCCCTCTCTCTCAGCCCTAGGAAAGAGGCAATGGCAAACCACTTCTGAAAATCTTGCCAAGAAAACTGCAGAGACTAGTCCAGGCAATCTCCAGGAGTCAAGACTGACTCGAAGGTACCAAAAACAAAGCAACCCCCCCCCCAATAAATTAGCATTCCTAGAATCCTTTAGGCATCTATTTCTGACCTGGCCTATCTCAAAGAGCTGACATCAATCTTGAAGGCCTGCCAAGAGTTTCTCTCTGTCCCCTTTTATAGCAAATAGAGTCAAGGTGGGGTTATTTTGAATGTCTTTCTCATGTTTTCTGTTTCCCAAGCCTGAATTCTCGTTTTTCCGCTTAACAGCTCATCCATCAAGGTTATCTCCACATTCCTTCACAGCATCCCATCAAACATCTGGCGAGCCCTGCAAATAGTGGTGGATGAGCCATGCATCTGTCTGTCTGTCTGTCTGCCTCTCACTTACACACACAAACACGGCACTACCAGGATCTGGGGGGATCTGTTCAGTTTCTGCTGAAATTGGTTGCAATAGCAGGGTGTCTTTGTGTGAAAAAGTGTGAGAAGAGAGGGGGGAAGAGGAAGGGGGAAAAAGAAGCATGTTTGTCTGTATGTGCACGTGTGCACGAAGATGAAATGAAGCATTGGCCAGTCAATGTGCCTTAATTGTCTTTATGATTCTGTATTTTGAAAGCTCCTCTGTGCGAATTCTTTTCAGGGGTCAACTGTAATCAATATTTTTAAAAACAAGAATAGATTCCTGGGGTGTAGATTGTTCCATAAAATAACAAGGGATAGATTTATAAGTGGGACACCGGCCTCATCCTGCCTCCTAGGTTAGGAGGTTATTATTCCACTCTGAATTAGCACATACTCTGCATATACACGAAATGCAAATGAATCATATTCATCATCTTTTGTGCAACTTGCATAATGTATCTGAACCAAACCTAGCTTGGGGGATTTTTTTTTCTTCTCAGAAAGCCAACATTTAATTTCAGAAGCCTGCCGCCATTGCATACAACCTCCAATGTTTCGGAAATGAAAAGGAAAGATTCTTTGTTTCCTGTAGTGGCTTTGTACGCACCAGGAATTGCTGCTCGGTGACCCTTCATCAAACCCTCATCCCCAAACGCACATTGCAGATGATGTTCTTTTGACCGAGGGCACGTGGTATGGATTATATGCACCACCCCCGATCAGCCCGAGGCATCTATGGAGGAGGCCCATTGACCAACACAATTTTTAAACAGTTTTTAAGCAGAGTTTTAACTGGAACATTGAAAGCAAAGAGCTTGGGAATAAATGAAAAATTGAAACCATCGTGGACAAACTTATTTGATTTTCCATTCAATCCCAAAGGAATGCATTG